TATATATATATACAAACACACATACACATAATTATATCATATTTTTATTATTATTACTATATTTTTCCTTTTGCACTTTATAGCAATTTATAAATATGACATTTTGCAAACCGAATGATTAATAATATCAGTGAGATCTATCTTAAAATCAGGCTTTATTTTCCCTCAGCTAAATATAATCTGATATCTTCTTTAATTTTGGAGTGAAGTGTGACTCCTCGGCTTGATGAGATTCTCCAGTTACTGAACTCTTCTCCGCTCTGTGATGATGAAGGCCGGATGAACGTCCTCACGTGTGAAGCACTATTCACATCAACACTAATCCACTCGATCTGCCTGGAAATCCAGCAAAACTGCAAACAAGCCAACTACTGAGTGTGTTAATCTTAGCCTGTTTCCCCCCATAATGCATTTCACTCAAGGACATTATAAGGGCTTATCATTTATTTCCTCTCTGGACATCACTCTCGCTCATCTATGCGAGTTCACTGATTGTTTTGATCTTCATTTCGGGGCTCATACTTGTTTTTGAAAGCACTACAGGAATCATTGACACTATTTTGGTTTCCATCTTGTCGTCTGTATATTTATTTTTGCTGTTTCTGCATTATGAACTGCCTTTAGTTCAGTTCACGAGTCAGTTATGATGTCCAGTTATTCTTACTTCTGGAGGAGGATTTCTGTGCTCAGAATCCCCTCATTAATGCTCCCTTTGCTTTACTTTCTGAAGGACGGTTGTTTGGCGGCGGTGTCTCTCTCTCTCTCTCTCTCTCTCTCTCTCTCTCTCTCTCTCTCTCTCTCTCTCTCTCTCTCTCTCTCTCTCTCTCTCTCTCTCTCTCTCTCTCTCTCCGTGTGTGTGTAAATATTGGCGGCATGGACTTTGTATAAAGTTTGAGTTTGTATGTAAATATCAGCGGGTGTGAAGTTGCTCTCACTCATCTTATACTGTTGATTAGGAACAGCACACACACACATGAACGCCTGTTTGTATTTATGCCATCATATATGTGTGTGTGTGTGTGTCCAGGAACAACCATGGAGATTGAATGTAACACATGTAATGAAATAAAGATTTTAATTAAGTTCTTATCATATCATGGCTGAGTTTGATTTTCTGTGTGTGTTTGCGTGTGTGTGTGTGCGTGTGTGTGTGTTTGTTTTTGTTTGTATTTGTGCATGTGTGTGTGTCTTGCTCGCTCAAGCTTTTTCAACTCTGCCCACACATTTTGTATAGGATTGAGATCAGGGCTTTGTGATGGCCACTCCAAAACATTCACTCTGTTGTGCTTAAAGCACATTTGAACTCATTTGGCAGTGTGTTTAGGGTCATGGTCTGTTTGGAAGACATATTTGTGGCCAAGTTGTAATGTCCTGGCTGATGTCTTGAGATGTTTCTTCAGTATTTCTCCATAATGTTCTGTCTTCATGATGCCATCTATGCTGTGAAGTGGACCAGTCCCTCCTGCAGCAAAACAGCCCCACAACATGACGCTGCCGCCCCATACTGCACAGTTGGGATGGTGTTGCTAGGCTTGTGCGCTTTCCCCTTTGTCCTCCAAATGTAACACTGCTCATTATGGCCAAACAGTTCAATCTCAGCTCCATCAGAGCACAGGACATGTCTCCAAACATGAGTCTTTCCCCAGTGTAATTCAGCTAATGCTAATCTGGCTTTGTTGTTGATTCTGGCTTGTTGATTTTCTCATGTTGTCACACAAGGAAGCAGTGTGTTTGAGCTTTTCCTTCAACACTATTCTACAGTTGTGCCTCACATTAACTCAAATGTTGTCAATTAGCCAATCAGAAACTTCCAAAAGCTTGACATCATCATCTGAGCTTTTCCAGAGGCAGAATAATCTTATTGTGTGTAAACTTGACTTTCAAGAAAATTTATAACAATTTCTCAACAAATATCTCTCAATATTCTGCTATTAAGCACAACAGAAACACGGTCAGTCCTTCTGTTTATAATAGTCAGTCTCTCTCATGTCAAGTCCCTGTTTCTGTTCTCCTACATGAATCATCAGTCTGACTATTGTGAAGAAAACGAACACTTATTACAACATAACTGAAATCACTCTCCTTTTCAGCGCTCAGCAGTGTGTGTGTGTGTGTGTGTGTGTGTGTGTGTGTGTGTGTGTGTGTGTGTGTGTGTGATCTGCGCTCCTTTTATCTTTTATGATTGATGTTGTGCTTTCTTTCATCTCTACTGTGTGTTTAACGAAAGGCTTATTGTTGTCATGGAAACTAAAATCAGTGTTTATTTGGGGTGTTCTCGATAGGATACAGCTGCGGATACGCACATCACTTTTGTGACACTGTATAACAATAAGTCATATTTTTACAGGTTGGGTTTAGGGTTGGGGTAGGGGTAGACGTTAATAAAATACAATTTATTGGGAAATTTTTTAAATAATATAAATAATTCTTATTAACTTCCGGCTGCAACTGGTGTTGTTGCTAATTTTGGAGTCGCTGGAATCAAAATAGGATTAAACATTCACTCACCGGCCATATTTAGCGTTTACAGAGAATGGTGCGACACAGAGGAAATATCCAGTGAGCGGCAGTTCTGTGGGCGCAAATGCCTTCTTGTTGTTGATGCCAGAGGTCAGAGGAGAATGGCCAGACTGGTTCCAGCTGATAGAAAGGCAACAGTAACTCAAATAAGCACTCGCTACAACCGAGCTCTGCAGAAGAGCATCTCTGAACACACAACACGTCCAACCTTGAGGCGGATGGGCTACAGCAGCAGAAGACCACACCGAGTGCCGCTCCTGTCTGCTAAGAACAGGAAACTGAGGCTACAATTCACACAGACTCACCAAAACTGGACAATAGAAGATTGGAGAAACGTTGCTGCTCTGATGAGTCTCCATTTCTGGTGACACATTCAGATGCTCTGGTCAGAATTTGGCCTCAACAACATGAAAGCATGGATCATCCTGCCTTGTATCAGCGGTTCAGGCTGGTGGTGGTGGTGTAATGGTGTGGGGGAGATTTTCTTGGCACACTTTGGGTCCATTAGTATCAATTGAGCATCAACGCCACAGCCTACCTGAGTATTGCTGCTGACCATGTCCATCCCTTTATGAGCACAGTGTCTCCATCTTCTGATGGCTACTTCCAGCAGGATAACGCAGCATGTCATAAAGCGTGAATATCTCACACTGGTTTCTTGAACATGACTATGAGTTCACTGTACTCAAATGGCCTCCACAGTCACCAGATCTCAACCCAATAGAGCACCTTTAGGATGTGGTGGGACGGGAGATTGGCATCATGGATGTGCAGCCGACAAATCTGCAGCAACTGTGTGAGCTATCATGACAATATGGAGCAAAATCTCTGAGGAATATTTCCAGTAGCTTGTTGAATCCGTCACGAAGTATTAAGGCAAGATTCTGAAGGCAAAAGGGATCCAACCCAGTACTAGTATGGTGTACCTAATAAAGTGGCCGGTGAGTATACACTGATTTTATTCTGTTTGTTTAAACTGCTTAGCGTAAATGAGCTAGCATTCTTGATTTTTGGGGGTGGACAACTTAATTGTTTTATGTTCAGTCCACTTAATGTGTAAAAACTAAGGAGATCAACTTAATTCCTTCATGTTGTCCCAACACAAATCAACCGTGTGGAAGCCAACATTCATACAGTGTTTGTCTTTTCATTCTCAGACAACTGCCGTGAATTATCGGTGTGAAGGAGGGAAACACTGGTGTGTGAATGTGTGTGTGTGTGTGTATTAGATTGGATGTTGAAAGCTGAGTGTTTTGGAGTTCGTGACTGAGATGAATGTCTGGAGATGCTGATGAGATGAGTCGAGCAGTAATACATTACCTGATTTAACTCTGATGTTCAGCTCTGTTTGACCCACAACACATTACTGGATCACCTAGGAGGGTTTTCTGTGTATTGTGTGTCTATTTCTCATATGATGCTCATTCTGCAACTCTCTGATGTGATGTGGAAACTGCATGGGTGACTCTACAAATGCGAGGAAATTTTCGCGAGGAAATTATTTAATAAAAACTAGCGGTAACACTTTAAAACAGTGGTCCATTAGTTATGTATTATCATTGATTTATTATAATCATGTTTTTTATGAACAAACATTTAGTAATACATTTATTACTGAATTCTTATTTGTTAACATTAGCAAAAGGGCACCTATTTTACCCCTTTTACAAGGTGTAAGCCTTTGTTGCTCTAGAATGTGTCTGTAAAGTTTCAGCTCAAAATACCCATCATATTATTTATTTTATAATGTTATATGATATATATATATATATATATATATATATATATATATATATATATATATATATATATATACATACATTCATTCATTCATTTTCTCATCTGCTTAGTTCCTTTATTAATCCGGGGTCGCCACAGCGGAATGAACCGCCAACTTATCCAGCACGTTTTTACGCAGCAGATGCCCTTCCAGCCGAAACCCATCTCTGGGAAACATTCACACACACACTCATACACTACGGACAATTTAGCCTACCCAATTCACCTGTACCGCATGTGTTTGGACTGTGGGGGAATACTGTGGGACTGTGGGAAACCCACGCGAACGCAGGGAGAACAAGCAAACTCCACACAGAAACAACAACTGAGCCGAGGCTCGACCCAGCGACCTTCTTGCTGTGAGGCGACAGCACTACTGCGTCACTGCTTCGGTTCTCGAATCTGATTGGCTGATAGCCGTGATATATTTAAGTAATATTATAGGGATAATTTTTGACCGTCTTCACCTCCTGAAACACACTCAGCTTCGGTTATCATCATATATTTAAGTCTGCTTCAGGGTGTGTAAGTGTTTTTACATTATGCTTATGGAGAGTCCTCATAAACCACCAATACCAACATTGGGTAACACTGTGTGCGTGTTTATGTGTGTGTCGGAGCACTGTGCTCATCCTCACTCTGTGCTCTGGCCTCTGGTAGGTGTGATGTTTGCTCAATGTGTCTGAGATCACTCGAGATTTGATTAGTCGGGTCTGGAGCAGCTCAGAGTCCCAGGAGAAACACACACACAGAGAGAGACCTCGCTGATGCTCCTCCTGCTGTCTGTGTGATGGAAGGCTTTTAAATCAGGTGAATCAGCCTGAACTCTTTGCTCTTTTCACATCCACACAGCTAAAAACAGCTCCTGCTGACAGAGACCTGCCTGCGACTGCACCTCATGACAGCATGTGTGTGTATGCTGCGTTAATGCACTTTATTTTCAAGAGTTCACACTTAGATATTGCTTGATAATGATAGCAGGTTTGGCATGCTGTCCCAGGAGAGAACCCTCTCTGCCCACACATTTTCTATAGGATTGAGATCAGGGCTTTGTGATGGCCACTCCAAAGCATTCACTCTGTTGTCCTTAAAGCACATTTGAACTCATTTGGCAGTGTGTTTAGGGTCATGGTGTGTTTGGAAGACCCATTTGTTGCCAAGTTGTAATGTCCTGGCTGATGTGTTGAGATGTTGCTTCAGTATTTCTCCATAATGTTCTGTCTTCATGATGCCATCTATGCTGTGAAGTGGACCAGTCCCTCCTGCAGCAAAACAGCCCCACAACATGATGCTGCCGCCCCCATACTGCACAGTTGGGATGGTGTTGCTAGGCTTGTGCGCTTTCCCCTTTGTCCTCCAAATGTAACACTGCTCATTATGGCCAAACAGTTCAATCTCAGCTCCATCAGAGCACAGGACATGTCTCCAAACATGAGTCTTTCCCCAGTGTAATTCAGCTAATGCTAATCTGGCTTTGTTGTTGATTCTGGCTTGTTGATTTTCTCATGTTGTCACACAAGGAAGCAGTGTGTTTGAGCTTTTCCTTCAACACTGTTCTACAGTTGTGCCTCACATTAACTCAAATGTTGTCAATTAGCCAATCAGAAACTTCCAAAACCTTGACATCATCATCTGAGCTTTTCCAGAGGCAGAATAATCTTATTGTGTGTAAACTTGACTTTCAAGAAGAGTTATAACAATTTCTCAATACATATCTCTCTCATTATTCTGCTATTAAGCACAACAGAAACACATTGATAATCCTAACTTACCTAAAAGAGAACAAGTTTAGTCACATTAACATCTGACTGTTTTAAATGGTCATGTGCCTTTAATACAGTGTATTTAAACTTCTGATTTTAACTGTAGAGAAACAAGCTTGCACGTGCAAAAGACACTAAATGTGAATGTCCCCTAACATTTTTATTCTGGGATTACCACTCTAAATTAACACACTTGCATAAAGTAAACGGTATCTCAAAGCTTTTACTGTTTTTTTTTTCTCCCTGTCACCATCTCCCCATTTTGCCTCGAAGCAAGATGCCGCCCTGGGTGATCGCCCATATTGCTCGTCCCTAAATCCGCCACTGATTCCATCAGTAAGAGCAGTGTGCAGGTTTCATTAACAGAGTAACAGCACAGGTTAGCTTCAATGCAGTGCACTTAACACTATGGGGACATATCGAACTTCAAAAGAGGACAGATTATTGGTCCGCATCTGTGAGCGAGACAGCAAGTGTGTGTGATGATCAAGAGCTGCGATATCCAGAGTAATGTCAGCAAACCACCAAGAAGAAGAACCACATCCAACAGGAGGAACTGTGGACTCGAGAGGAAGCTGTCTGAAAGTGAAGTCCAGCTGATAACATCAAGCCACAGCTGCCCGACTCACTGCGCAACTCTCCTGTTTCCAGCAGAACTGTTGGTCTGGAGCTCCACAAGATCACTATACATGGCCGACTGCTGGAACCTCTGCTTACTTGTTCCGATGCCAAACGTTGTCAACAGTGCCAGTGTAGCGGAGGCCAGCTAGTGTGTGCTGTGCAGGTAAACCTCACTCCTCTGACCTCTAAAGGTGCTCTAGCGACAGATGCTAGAGGTCATGGTCTTTAGCCTCCTTGTTAGTGCAACCGACTCCCATGGGAAAGGTCGCCAATTCGATACCAGCTCGGAGGACCAGCGGGGTTACACCAGCAGTGCAGATCTTGTGGACAATGTGAAACATGTATTGTTCTCTGATGAGTCCACCTTCACTGTCTTTCCCACATCCAGGAGAGTTACTGTCTGGAGAAGCCCCAAATCAGAAGACCAGATCAGTGATGGTTTGAGAGCAACATCATGGCATTCCCAAGACCTAATACAGGTGCTAGATAGGTGCTGGGTCATTTCCAAGGACTACCCAACCATTCTGGAGGACCATGTGACCCAATAGTTCAAACTGAAGGCCGTGGCATGTGTCAGGATGATAATGCACCAATACACACAGCAGGACTGGAGACACAGTGGTTTGATGAACATGAGAGTGAAGTTCATCTCCCATGGCCTGCACAGCCTCCAGAACTAAATGTTATTGAGCATTTTGGTGTGTTTTGGAGGAGTGAGTCAAGAAAGGTTCTCCTTCTCCCTCTCCACACACACACACACACACACACACACACACACACACACACACACACACACACACACACATATATATATATATATATATATATATATATATATATATATATATATATATATATATATATATATATATATATATATATATATATATATATATATATATATATATATTTATATATATATATATATAGGTATGTATATATATCCATATATCTGTATATATATATAGCTATCTGTATAACTATATATATATATGTGGACGTATCTCTATCTAACTTTGTATTTATATTGCCATACCT